CGTGAGATGCTCGTGCTGAACGGAACGGAGCGTACGCAGAGAGATAACGCATCCTTTACAAGGTCGGTGACGCCATAGCTCGACAACACTCGCTCATCCAGCTGCATCAGGAAGAAAAAGAAGAAACTCAGCGCGACAAACGTTACATTTTTAAAGTCTTTGGGATTCGCGGTGCGCAACATTTGAGATGACTGATATCTTAAACATTAAAGACGAGCCGATCTTCGACGATCGCATCGTCAAGATTGAGACTCACACATACAGTCCGTTTGCCAACACCACGTTTGGTACAGCGACGAAATAAGAATACCCATACAGTAACAGGATCTATACACACTGCCATACGAAAGTTTTTTATATCGAGGGAAAACTGACGAAGAACAAAAGTGATCCAGGGTGCTCATGTGGCATTGAGAAATAATTGCGTTGCGTCATATTCGATGAGATTCGATATGAACTCAATGGTGTGGAGATTGATCGTAATAGAAATGTGGGTATAACTAGCACGTTCAAAAACTATGTAACAGTGTCATCCGACAGAAGCGTGATTCTACGGAATGCCGGCTGGGATGCGCAGACTGCAGCCGGATATTTTAATTTCTGTGTACGCTCTACTGCTGGGATTTTGCGAAGATTACAAACGCGTAGTGATCAACGCTCGTCATGAGTTGATTTTAATACGAGCGCGCAACGACAACAATTGTCTGACGGGAGATCCGGCGATAGAGCCAACGCTCGAATTATTCAAAGTACAAGTAAAGTGGCGAATGCCGCACGTGTTATTGAGCGAGATAAATAAGCTGTCGATGCTGCGCGCTTTGGAGAGCGGACGATATCTGAGCATGGCTTTTCGCTCGTGGGATCTGTACGAATTTTCGCTCTTGCAGAGCACAACCAAGCATTCGTGGGCCATCAAGACGGCTACTCAACTCGAGAAGCCGCGCTACGTTATTTTCGCTATGCAAACAGGTCGAAAAAACGTCATGTCCGAGAATGTAAGTCGATTCGACGATTGCAAATTAATCAATGCGAAACTTTACCTGAATTCGGAATGTTATCCGTACGATGACTTCAATCTGGATTTTGACAAAAAAAGATGTGCGATTCTGTATGACTTGTACGCGCGTTTCTGCAAGGGCTACTACGGATACGAGTATCTCGAGCCGAGTCTCACCTTTATAACTTTTTCACGTAATGATCCATTCGTGATTATCGATTGCTTTCGACAGAACGAATCAGTCAAGAGTGGCACCGTAGACGTGCGATTAGACTTTGAATGTAAAGAGAATGTATCCGCAAATACAACAGCCTATTGTCTCATCATACACGATTGCGTGGTTCAATATAATCCATTGACCAATGTTGTGCGCAAAATCACCTAAGATGCACCTCTGACACGATATAAGATCTACGATACGTCGCAATCGACCGCAGTCTTCTCGACAACATGTTCGTGCCAACGTTCGTGGATCTGCAAGGATTCATCGTTAACAAGAAATTTATCATGAAGGAAGTGACGGTGCTGAAACAGAGGATCGTTCTCACACATTACATTCTTACGAGTTCCGCGCCATGGAAATTTTTGACAAGATCCGACAGGTCTTGCGCTTCCTGATTGACTGCTTATCACCATGGATTGCGATGGGAGGACGGGATGGCCCCGTACAACGAGGCGAAACGTCTGATCACAGCAGCTGTATTTGAAGATGATTCTATCGTGTACGTTAAGGGACGCGAAAAATGAACGTGGTTGTGGAACTTGCTTTTGGACGATGAGCGAGAACGCATGTGCATCGAGACCTTGGATGTAGTTTACGAAGACATGGAATCTTTAACCAAGCTGGATGCTTGGATGTTGCTAATACTATGTGGACAACATGTTCAGAATTGCGCGTTACAAAATGTATTGAAAATATATAACTGGTGGTTGCAAAAGAATTTTTTAAATAAAAATACGTTAAGGTATTTATTACGTATTTCTTTTTTCTCTTCCTTTGTAATACATGTACTCATATGAACGTATATGTATGAAGGTATATGTATGAACACATATGTATGTATGTATGTATATATGTACGTATGTATGTATGTATCCAAAAACGTCAACGCTTCTGTTAAACGTGTCG